CTGTTACTCAGGGGGAGAAGTAACATTGCTGTTGAGTGGGCAGGCAGCTAGCAGTCTCTATCAGAGAAAGCTGCATTTAATAGCTGTGAAATAAACAGTAATTCACTCAACTCTCTGTGACCCTAGGCAGGTCGCTTTACTTCTGTGAGCTTCAGTATCTTCATTAAAAAAACACAAAGTTAGACCTATATGGCTGCTCAGCTGTGTTCCATGACGTCCCTGGAGGCACCGCGGAAGTCAACAGGAGCAACTCGAGCTGAGACGGGAGAGGACCCGAGCCAGATCTGATCCTTTTTATCTGGTTTGTTATGTACCTCAGTGCTCCATGGCCAGGGAGAAACTTCAGGAGCGGTGATGGAAAGTTTCTGAGAGAAGCAAATTGGACAGGTTATGTAGGCTCAGGGTTCTGTGGTTCAGGAGACAGAGGGACACGTTTCTATAATTCTGAAAATCCAGGGAGGTGTCAGAAAAAAGGCTTGGTCATACTTTTGTGATTTTGTAGCTAATCAGACATAATTTTCTAGACTCAAGGACACTAGAATATATGTCCTCAGGGCTGGAGTGAAGAGAAAATGAACTTCAGAATAAGATCCAGCTTGTTTCCTTGCTCTGCGATTTGCTGTTTGTTACTCGGCCTCTCTGAGCCTCAATTTGCTCATCTATGAAATGGGGATAATAAGGCCCACTCTGAGGGCTGCTGTGAGAATTAAATGTAATCAAGTATGTGAAGCTTCGTGGGCTATGGGGAAAGGTTCGTCTGCCTCAATGTCATGCGCTCTTCAGAGGGTCCCACACCACCTAGAGGTTAAGGATTCCCGAGGCTCGGGATAAAAATGATGGTGTTGGGACTCCGGGCACTCCCCGAGCGGGGCCTGGGCGGAGCCCTGTTCCCTGGGCTCGGTGTGCTTTATGATGTGCGTGCAAGGTCAGCCGAATCCCACCGCCGTCGTCCACTTTCTCCCCTCAATCTCCATTGTTTTCTCTCTTTGCTGGAATTGCCCCCTTACCATCATTTCCACTATGTCCTTCCTCCTTTACAGACAAGAACCTTGGCCTCCTTGTCTACACGGCTGCCTGGCTTTTCTCCCCACCTATGCCCTCCTGGCTCCCTGTGAGCCGGTTTGTGCCAAATCTCTCCACCAAATCTGTGGCCTGAACCTCCCTAGTTCCTTTGGCTTCCTGAGGTCAACCTTCACTCTAACAGAGGAGAGCTCAGCGTGTAGGTCTAAGCAACGTGTGAAGTGCAGTGTGTTCCTCAATATTTCTGAGGACCTGCCCCACCTCAGAGAGAATATGGGTATGTGTACGTCTTTCAACTCCTGCTGTTTTTTTTTCCTTCCAAACTGCTCCCATCCCCATTCCTTCGGCCTTCTCAGCCCCACTCCTGGGGGGCTGCCCAGCTCTCTCTGATTTCCAAGGGCACCACTCATCCAGTGGCACTGGGTAAAAACAATTCTTATTAAAGCAACTATTATTAGAGTCTGCGGGGTGTGGCAGATTTGTCTTGTCTCTCCCTTCATGATGTGGCCTGTTGACCCCTCAGCCCCCAGCCGACAGCCCGACTGCCCTGGGCCGTCCTCACATCACAGTCTCCAGATTTTCCTGCCACCCCCGTGCCTCTTCTTTCCGTCTCCTCCTCTTCTTTCTTTTAAACAAACTTTTATTTTAAAACAACTTCAGATTTATAGAGCTCTGTTGCACAACAACGTAAATACACTTACCACTACTGAATTATACACTTCTAAAGTGATTAGGATGATAAGTTTAATGTTGTATGTTTTTTTAAACCACAATTTAGAAAAAGAATGCTACTCGAAGGCATCGTTAGATTGCAAAGGGGAGGAGGAAGGGGACCGGTAGAAGTTGGAATTCTTGGAGGAACAACTAACAAGTCAGCTTTAACTCTGTGTAATACACACCTCAAAACAATCTCAGACTTCCAGAAAAGTTGGAAAGAATGCTAAAAAGAATTCTACTACCCCTGCATGCAGATTCCCCAATGTCAACATTTTATCGTATTTGCTTTGTCTTTATCTACCCATCATCCATCTATCTGACTTACTTTATTCCAGAACCAGTAAAGTCTAGACATAATTCTCCTTTAAATTAGCATTTCATAGCCCTGGCCAGTGCTGCTAAGTGGTTAGAGCGTGGGTCTGCACTTCGAAGGGTTGCAGGTTTGATTCCTGGCCAAGGGCAAGTACCTGGGTTGCAGGTTTGATCTCCAGCCCCAGTTGGGACACGTGTGGGAGGCAACCAATTGATGTGTCTCTCTCACATTAATGTTTCTCTTTCTTTCTCTCCCTTTCCCTTTCTCAAAACAAAACAAAACAAAACGAAACAAAAAAATCAATGGAAAAATATCCTTAGGTGAGGATTAACAACAAAAATAAATAAATAAAATAATTAGTGTTTCCTAAAAAAGGCATGTTCTTACATAGTACAATGATGAAAATTAGATAAAAATTAGAAAAACGCTGAAACAGTGCAGGCAGACCTCGTTTTATTGCGCTCTGCTTTATTGCTCTTCGCAGGGGGTTGAGTTTTTTACAAATTGAAAGCAAGACCCTTCACCAGGAAAAATATTACGCTTTATTGAAGTATTGGCTTCATTCCATTGGTCTGGAACACGGCCCCTGGTAGCTCCTATTGTGCATTCATAATCTTTATTTTCAATGTTGCTAATTGTCACAAAGTAATTGTAGCAAAGGAATAAAAAAGGCTTTTATATTTTTCCTGGTCCAGGATCTAATCTGAGATGACACATTTAATTCTTTAGTTATTATGTTTGTTCCTTAGTATCCTTTCACCCAGAACAGTTTCTTAGCCCGTCTTTGCCTTTCATGACCTTGACATTTTGAAGGCACAGGCCCATTATGTTATAGACTGCCCTTCAATGTGGTTTGGCTGATGCTCCCTCATGATTAGCCTCAGATGGTGCATTGTGGGCAGGAACATTCCTGGAGTGATGCTGTGTCCCTCTCAGTGCATCGTGTCAGGAGGCACATGGTGTCCAGGTGACCCATTACCTGCAGTGTTAATTTGGATCAGTTGGTGAAGGTGTCTGCCAGGTTTTGTCCTGGTAGAGTTGCATTTTGGTCATAATTGAGAAATAGGTATCATGTAGGGGAGATACTTTGCACTATGTCAATTTCAGTCTGTCTCTAAATGCTGATGTTTTCTCAGGCCCCATAGTCAGCCTTCTGCTCTCCCTGAAAGTGTTCATGGCTTCGGTTACTCTCCGCCCTCCGTCTTTGGCCAAGACGACTCCTGGAGACACAGCTCCCTCGAAGGACGTCCCGGAGCCACCTTAACCTCAGCATCGCTCCTTTTCCAGGACCTTGTCTCCCACTTCTTCACCCCCACGAGCCTGCCCTTCCTCTGTCCCCTGATGACAGTTCGTAGCATCACCTCGTTCCCATCCTTTATCATCCTGGACTCCTGGGTGTCATTCTTGACTCCCCTTTCCTTTCACACCACATGCACAACCAGCCACGAAGTCCCATTGATCTTACGTTCCCAATATTTTCTACACTCCCTTGGTTCAGGCCATTACCGTTGTATGCTTGGAATCCTGCCATAGTCACCTCTTCCTGCCCAGGACCTGGCCTTCCCTCTAACTCATTCTCCATTGTGATGGCAGAGCGAGCTTTCCACCCCCCTCAGGACACCAACCAACTCCTTCTTCAAGGTCAGGCCCTGTCGACCTCTCCAGCTGCCTGGGTCACGTGGGTGTTTTTAGTTTCCAGTTTGAGTTGCTCTCCCCTTGGGCATGAGATCTGGAATGCCACCCCCTTCTCGCACCCATTCACCAGCTCTTGCTGCCATTCAGAATTCAGCTTAGACTCCATATCACGTGCTGTAGAAGACATTCCCTGCACCCCTGGGCATGGCATGCCCTACCCAGGTGCTCCCCAGGACCTTGGACTTGCCCCAACCCTCCTGTGACACTGTTCGCACTGTTGCAATGGATTAGATCTACTTCCACAACATCCAATGGACTGTGACTCCTCTAGTCCTGGAACCGGGCCTTACCCATTCCTGGTTGGGAAACCTGAATTAGCACATTATCTGGCTCTAGGACATAACAAGCTCCATAAACACTTGTGAATGGATTGGTGGGGGTGGGCGTGGAGGGGGGGAGGGTGAGTGGGAACAGGATGCTGACATAGCTGCAGGGTTTTGTTGATCTCGGGAAAATAACCGAGACTCTGTGACTCAGAGACGTGGGCTGTAGGGACAGGGTGGCCAGTTCTCGTGGGCTAGGACATCCAGGAGGAACACTAGGAACAAGATGAAACATTGCAGAGTCCAAAGCCTTAATTAAGGCAGGGTACTCATCAGATGGCCCAGGTGCCCATGACCCAGAAGAACTGGGTTTCCAAGTTGCAAATGACTACAGAGGAACAGGTTTCCAGGCCCAGGTGACTCAGATAGGGTTGGGCTCCCGAGGTCGGGAAGGGGAAGTGCCAGGTAAGAAAACAGTCAGCATCAGCAAGGCTTCTGCCCCCGTGGCCGGCCAGCCACATGGCCGAAACCCTCCATTGACTTAGCAGCCAGTGCAGCCTACAGTTTCCTAGGGAACCAAGAGCCAGTCTGTGGTGCAGCTCAGCATGGAGCCGGGGACGGTTTATGAGGGCCAGATGGCCGGCCGCCAGCCGGATGTTGCCAGTGTGGCGGGGTCGGTGGCTGAGGGTCTTGGGGAAAGACTCAGCACAGGGCTGGGAAGGTCTGAGGAAGGCTAGACTCTCACATTAGCCATGTAGGTGAGGGGCCCGGGAACCGATGAGACCAGAGATGGGTGTCAGTGTAGACAGGAGAGCACAGGACCAGAGCCCAGCGAGCAGTCGGCGCCAGGGGCCATTGGTTCTGCAAGTCAAGGGGGCAAAGGGAGGCTAGACTTTGGGTGGTGAGCACTCAATACAACATACAGGTGATGTATTAGGGAATTGCACATTTGAAACCCATACCATTTTATGAACCAATGTAATCCCAATAAATTCAATAAAAATATTTTTTATTTTTTTGAAAAAGTGAGTTAAATAGGGACTGGGAGTGACCACATGGTTGGCATCTGGGTCAAAAATATTATTGGCCCCAGGAGAGCAGGAATCTTATCTCGCTTTCTCTGCTGTGTCGACTGCCTAACACGACTGGGAGCGAGGGTCACAGAGGTCAGACTGGGAGCTGGAGTGGGAGGGCGACCTGGAGGACAGGGTCACAGCTGTTTCAGCCTCAGAGAGAGTTCCAGCGAGACACCTGGCCATGGCGTTTTTAGTGTATTTCCTACGACTGAAACCTATGTGACACACGGAGAGTAAAACATAGTAAAGGGTAAACATGCAAACAGTCACGGTGCTGGGCTGAGGTACTGCCGAAGGCTGGATCCCAGCACCTGGGACACCTCACGCAGGTGGAGAAGGTGAGGAAGCTGGTCGGAATGCGGGTTGCTAAGCAGACCAGGGAGGGGCCGTCCGTGGAAGTTGAGGGGCCAGGAAAGAATCTCTAGACCCGACTTGTCCGGAGGAGGCAGGGAATGACTGCGACTGAACCAAATCACCAGTCATTTTCTGTCTTATCTTACCCAGTAGATATGTAGAATCAAGGACTTCGGAGCATGCGTGCCAGCGGTCGGAATTAGGCTGAGTTATATAACAGGGAGGGAAACGCATTGTCATACGTGGTTGCAGATGGGCCTAAAGGGCTCCGTCTGTTGGATTTTCTGCCTGATGCAGCAAGACCTGGGAAGGAGGCACACACATCTGGGCAGTGACTGGAGGGGCTGCCAGCCAGGGAGGCCTGGGCTGCTTATGGTCAGGAACGTGAGCTAGATGTGCAGGCAGTGAGGCCCTGTCACCAGCAACAAGGGCCTCTGGACTCAGGCTCCTGGGAGCTCTGGGCACGAAGCCTGTGACATAGATGGGGGGGCAGCTCAGGGCCTACAGGTAGGGAGCAGGGAGACCAGTTAGAGCCCTGGGCAGGCCAGGTATAGGCGGGAGGCAAGCATGACAAGGCGCCTGCCCATGGGTCCTCATTTTCTGTAATATCATATGTGGCTCCTCTTGAGGAATTGCAAGGCTCCCCATTACCACCACCACCATCATCACCATATTCATCAAAGTACTATTTATTGGGTACTTCCCCACTTGCTCAATTTCCTCACTTAATTCTCATAAAACACTGTAAGGCAGGAATTGTGAGAAAACTGAGGTCTGAGAGGTTAAATGACTTACCAAAGGTCATTGTTATAGGCCATTTCCTAGTCAGTGGCAGAGCCAGACTGTGAATCGAGGTCTGATGGACTGCAAACTCTGTCAGGTACCCTGGAGGTTAGGAACACAGGCTATGGAAACAGACTCGCTAGTCGTGTGGCTGTGGTCAGCCCTATGACTCAGTTTTCTCATCTGTAAAATGGGCATGATGGCGATGGTAGAAATACCTCATAAGATACTATTGAGGAGCAAGTGAGGGACTGTAAACTCTAACTTCCATACTTGGGGAGTAGGTTTGCCTGACTTAGCAGATAAAAATGCAAGATGCTCAGTTCAATTTGAGTTTCTGATAAACAAGGGATACTATTTTAGAACAAAAGGGATTGAAATATTTGGGCCATACTTATACTAAAAATTAAATTCCAAATGAGCTGGGTATCCTGTCTGTTGCCTGGCAGCCCGTAGAGGAGGCTCGCAGGCTGGCCCGGGCCATGACAGCCCAGTTTGCAGCGCTCTCTGCTCCAGTGGGGATGGTTTTCTCTCTGGTCTCCCTGCCTCCACCCTGCCTCTGGTCCTGCATGGTCATGCCCCACCCCCTCGCCTCACCCCTTCTCCTGGCCCCCAGGCCTGTCCTGCCTTCCAGCCTCCTCCTGGGGTTCCTCGCAGTCCTCCCTGCACTCAGAGTCCCTAGCACAGAACATAGCCCTGAATCGTTCGGCCTGTCAGGTGAGTGAAAGTGCTCTCTAACTGCGCTCCCCGCACCTGTCTTCCGTGTCCGGATTGTGCACAGGTTTCAATATAAACCAGCTGTGTGAGCAGTTGCAGAAATGAAACCAGCTCTGAGGGAGCCACTACTATTTTCTTGCAGGGCTGGGTGGTGCCGTCAGAGTGAACCAGAACTCGGGGCCCCACAGCACCCCAGCCAGCCCCGCCCTCGCAGCGGCAGCCCCCTCCCCCCCACACACAGAGGGTGTGGCTTGGGCAGAAGCTGTTGTTTCTTCTCAGCCAAGGAAGTAGCACCCAGTGCCCCACCCTTTAGCTGCCGGGAGGAAATGACAGCCAGCCCAGGGACCTAACTTAGAACCGACAGAACAGCAGGCAGGATGCCAACAACGAGCTCGTACAACTTTGTTATGCCTCATCTCAGGTGGCATCAGGCCTGTGCCAGGGCCTGCCTGGCTTCTTCCCTGTCCCCTGGGCCGGGGTGGACTCCCTGTGTCCTCGGATGGACACACTGACCCTTGATACTCTGTCCTTGCTGCTCTTGTCCTTCCCTGGCAGCGGCACGTGTCACGGGCTGTGCCCTGCCCCCACATCGCCTGTGCTGTGGTTCGAAAGCCGCGCTTCTCACACGAGTGAGCCTGGGCCACCGGGCGGGCTGTCAGAACACGCGTCGCAGGGCCTCACCCCTGCAGTTTCCGATTCTGCAGTTCCGGGCCGGGGCCCCAGAATGGGCATTTCCACCACGTTCCCAGGCGATGCACTCTGAGCCCCGCTGTGCTTATGTTTCTGGGTCAGCAGGAGTTGAGGTTCTGAGAGGCACCAGTGACCCTCGGTGCGCTAGGAAGAGGGGGGACCCCAAGCCCAGACGACAGTCCTCTGCATGCCCATTTGTTGTGGCTGGTGTCCTGGTAGCTGGGACTTGACCGGTAGGTATGATCGTTGCGATTGGTTATCCTGCCTGGAGTTCCGTAACAGGCAAGGCCCGGTGGGGGACACTTAGAGAAGGACGAGTCTCTCCACAGGGCAGTGACTGCCACCCAGTGCAGAGACAAAATGAGAAGCACAGGCAATGGCTACTCATTGGTTATGTCATCACACCCCTCAGAAGTGCCTTCTGTGGGTGCTGCTGGGATGGTGGCTGACGGCTCCAAGTTGAGTCTCTTTTCAGGAATTTACCTTCCTTGCTCCAGGTCACCTTCTTTCCCCCGGGGAAGCCCACACCCAGTAACTGGTCAGTGTCAGGGTAGGGCCCCCCTTTTCACTCTGAAGGGCAGTCCCAGCTCCTGAGCTCCCCACGGGGTTGCTGAGGCCTTTGTTGTGCCACATCACCACTCAGCCTCTGGCTGTGCCTGAGCTACTCCCTTCACGCCCGTCAGCAATTGAACCTGGGCATTCCCAGTGAACTTCCTGTGTGCCGGGGTCTGTCTCGGTCTGTTTGCCTGGGGACCGAGACACCTATTCATCCCTCAGTCTGGAAAGCTGGTACAGATGAGAAATGCTTCTAGAAGTCAGAGGAGGGCCCTGGCATCAGGACCTGGTGTACACAGGGAGGAGGGCATTGACGGGGCCCGACTGCCTGTCCCCACCCTGGCTCGCACTGGCTCCTTGCTCTGTGCCCCCAGCAGCCAGCTCTGAGGTTCATAGCTTGCTGTCTCCTTTGACCTTGACCCCTGCCTGTCTGCTCACCCCCCTTCCACCTGGACTCCTGCTCCCCTCACACCCTTCCTTATACTAACTCATCTCTCAGCCGTGACCTTTCGTCATCCCTATAAAAGCCACTTGAGTAGATGCCATCTTCAAGAAGAGATACAAAGAATAGAATGTCTGGGGGAGAAATGACACTGAAATTCTACAGTGAATCTTGGTAGGGGTCCCCTGATAATGTGCTCAGAGAGTTTACAAAAACCAAAGACGTTCTTTAAAGTTCGATGTGAGGTGCCCAAAGGGCTTCTAGATGCGAGGATCGTTGTCCTTGGTAAGCATGACCACGGCGTTCAACTTGGGGAACTCCCTGAAGGAGACAGCATAGCTCACCGCCAGGCACACAGTGAGGGGGACGTGGCGGGGCCAGGCTGAGCATCTCTGCCAGTCATTTCTAAGTGATACACTGATGACATCAGCTCATCTGAGACTGAAAATATCCCACCATGTTTCCCCGAGGCCTTTGCAAGTCGTGGGCTCTGGCGACTTCAGAGGCTCCCAAACCCTGCGGAAAAGGAAAAGGTTTGTCTGGAAAGTGCATCTGAAACCAATCGAATGTGCCCCCACCCCGAAAGATTTCCTGGCCCTCTCACTAACGGGAGCCTTAGCTTCCTCTCCTTCTGGACGGCACTGTCCCCGAGTTCCCCTCTCCAACGCCAGGCACAGCTCCTGCAGCGCGTTAGTACTTTTACTTCTTTCCGCGTCTCTCTCCCGCCTGTGAATCCTCAAGTTCATAGGCCACGAGTGTCTTTACGGCCCTGAGCACAGAGCCTGCCTCATCGGAAGCAGTTAGTCAATACTATTGAGTGAACAAACAAATTACATATATTTGTCCCAGAAAGAACCTAGCACGGGAAAGGTAGGGCAATTTATTCTAGCGTGGACAAAACCTGATTCTTCCAAAATCCTTGAAGGTGATAAAAAAGGTCACATAAGAAAGCAGAGATTTGTGTTAGTGGCAGCACACAAGACAAGACTGGCGAGAGCACTGGAAAAAAGATGTTCTCTGCGAACCTGGCTGGTGTTATTCTCGGCTCCTCTTCTGGAAACCAGGGCTTCTGTATCTTTCTGACACGGAGGAGCTCTCTGAGTGCAGGGAACATAATGACTTTCTTTGTTTTCCTCTAAGGCTGACTTTCTGCCCCACTTCTTAGATTTTTGTCTGTTCTCATAAGAGGCAAAAACTGACAGCTTGGATTCCTTCAGCATCTTGTAGCTCCATTCACAACAAGAATTCAAAACATGTAACCTTAAAGTGAACTGATAGGTTTATAGTTAATGCTTGGGGGGAGCTCTGCTCTTAGAGTTATTATATAAAAATTCTACGAGAAAGTTGCACATAGTACAATTTAATGTTCCCTAACATCAAAGTGATTTCATTCTTTTAAAGGGCACTTACGCATCTTTTCCATTTAATATATTTCTCTTTCCCTCAAGTTTCCCCATTCATTTACTTTCTAGAAAAGTTGGCTTTAACATGCCTTCAACTTTTCATAACAATCTACCACTCTAGCCTCATAATTTGTTTAACATAAAACGAAATCACTGAAGGAGCATGCGATGAGAAAGTTCTGGAAAATAGAATAATAATAGCTCAGATTTAGTGAGATTGACTAAGTACCAGGGACCTTCTAAACCCTTTACCTCTGACCTCACTGAATCGTCACCACCGTTTCCCGAGGCTGGTGCTAAGAAACTCAGCCCCACCTTGCGCACGGCGGTCTTGCTCATGGTGTTAGGTGGTAGGGCCAGGATGCAAACTCTGGTGTGTAACTCTTGGCACCTGTGCTCTCAGCTACCATAGCATCCTGCCTACCTTCCATGACCGAGATGAAAAAGAGGGGAAAGGGGCGCTTGCTTAAACCCTGTCAATGGGGACTGAGCTATTATTGCCATAGAAGATGTTTGCCGGTGTTTGGCTGAGCTTATGTGGTATGACACTTGGCTATCTCCAGCCTCAGAGTCACCAGTGTTTAATGTAGGAAAAATAGGATCTCTCTCTCTCTCTCTCTCTCTCTCTCTTCTGTTGCTATATATTTTAAGGTTTCTTTTGGATTCTCATCAAAAGAGAATTTCTTCTATTTTTGCTTGGTAGACTCTTGAACGTCCTTCCTCCCCCAGTCTCCAACCCCCCAATACTCCCAGACAGCCACCAAAAGCAATTGAGAGGTCAGAGGTCCAGGCAGGAGTCAAAGGACACCAGTCTGGTTCCCTGAACAAAGGTTGAGGGTCAGACATTGAAAACTGAAAGGGTGATGAAAACCTCTGCATTCGTGAGCGGATTCATTGGACCCTGCTCCTGGGGAGCGAGTGCAGAACACCCGGATCCCGTGGGCAGAGCCAACAAAACGCTGGCTGAGATGAAACCATCCCAGAGAGGCAGAGCTTTCCAGAAACAAGATTTGCTTCTCAGAGCCCTGCTATTATCGTGTTCATACATTCCACTCACCATTCCAAGCAGCGCTCGTGGTCTGCTGTCTGTGAGCAGGGCACCAGGAGGAGGGAGGGAAGGGCATTTTATCCACGAAGTCAAAAGACTTGGGATGTCCCTTCCTCCACGTGGTGTAGTGGGGTGTCGCCTCAGAGGGCTGAGCACCTGTGACCTCTCAGGTTTGGTCTCCCGCCTCCCATCAGTTATTTCAGACTAGACTCACTAGGCCCTCGCTCCCTTCTTTCCCTGGATGGGAGTAATTTTTGTTCTGGAAAGAGAACTTTGGTGCCTGCCAACTTAGGGCAACTCACACCTCAAAAGCTGATCGTGCCTTCGCCAGTTTGGCTCAGTGGATAGAGCATCGGCCTGTGGACTGAGGGTTCTGGGTTCGATTCCAGTCAAGAGCACGTTCCTCGGTTCAGGCTCGATTCCCAGCCCCGGTGGAGGCGTGTGCAGGAGGCAACCAATTGATGTATCTCCCTCACATCGATGTTTTTTTCTCTCTGTCTTTCCCTTCCCTTTCACTCTTTCTAAAAAAATAAAAAATAAATCAATGGAAAAATATTGTCAGGTGAGAATTAACAAAAAACAAACAAACAAACAAACAAAAAGCTGATGGGGTTCGGGCCCTGTACTCAGACTCTGCTTGTCCAGACTCCTCCAGTGACCTCCTGAAGAAGGCCTTGGGAAGCAGCTGCACCTCCCTGCCCAGCAGCAG